TAAAATAATTGTAAAATTCAAGTGTTTCTCCAAGCACTTAGCTAAGTTGTGCTGACATATCACTTATCCTATGTGAGGTTTATTGTTCTTTTTATACATTAGAAGATTTATTCCTGGTAACTTACAACTTTCTGGTATCCTGAGGTCCCCAAACCAAAATATACTTTTCTGCTTTTAGGCATAGCAGGTCACTCACGAAGTGAACTTATTCATTGCTTATTTTGAAAACTTGCTAGTACTCTCACTTGTCTATCACATTAAATCTCAGCCATTGTGTGAAATAGGCATTGTGTCACTGTATTACAGACCTGGAAAACAAAGTTCAGGACATCTAAGTAGTTTAGGATTTTACAAAGCAGTAAAAATGTGGAAATTGAACCCATGTCTTCTAACTCAAAGTCTAGTCTTAGTTCTTTTTGTAAATTACAATTGTTCTATATCAGTTGCTCCTTATAGCAACTTGACATTATACTGTATTTGAGCTGTCCTTTTCACAGAAATGCATTCAAGTTTTATTCCATATTATTTTGCCGTTATATCTATACTTTTATCTATCTATCTATCTATCTATCTATCTATCTATCTATCTATCTTGTTTGAGATTGCCAATATCTGGAATTATACTATTATTTACAAGGTTAGTAATTTCAGTTATAATTTTGCATTGGATCATTAATATGCATATAGTACAAGGTAATTTTTACATAACTTTAAATTTTTTTTATTTTGTAGATATCAATTTCTTTTCAGATTACAAACATAATTTAAAACTTCGAAAAGTTGTAAGAAATGGTACAAAGAATTCCCATATACCCTTTAGCCAGATTTAGATATTAACATTTTAAAAATATATATATATTTTATTGATTTTTTTACAGAGAGGAAGAGAGAGAGATAGCCAGAAACATCGATGAGAGAGAATCATCGATCAGCTGTCTCTTGCACACCCCCTACTGGAGATGTGCCTACAAGGTACATGCCCTTGACCAGAATCGAACCTGGGACTTTTTAGTCCATAGGCTGACGCTCTATCCACTGAGCCAAACCGGTTTCGGTTAGATGTTAACATTTTGCTATATTGATTTGCTTTACCTTTTTCTCTTTCTTTCCCTCTTCATATATACTTATAAATACATACACTCGTCAAATCTGGTTTGGCTCAGTGGATAGAGCGTCGGTCTGAGGATTGAAAGGTCCCAGTTTCGATTCCGGTCAAGGGCATGTACATTGGTTGCAGGCACATCCCTGGTAGGTGTGCAGGAGGCAGCTGGTCAATGTTTCTCTCTCATGATGTTTCTAACTCTCTATCACTCTCCCTTCCTCTCTGTAAAAAAATCAATTAAAAAAAAAATAAAAATACATACACTCTCCATATATACATATATGTTTATATGTATATAATTTTTCTTTCTGAACCATTTATGAGTAAGTTATAGACATTATGTTCTTTTACCCCTAAATACTTTACCCCTAAGTTCTTTTCTTTCTTTCTTTCTTTCTTTCTTTTTTTTTTTTTTGGAAAAAAATGTTTCTTAAACAGATAGAGAGAAAGAGAAAGGGAGAAGGAGAGCAAGAGATAGAGAGGGAGAGAGATACTGATGTGAGAGAGAAACATTGATCCGTTGCCTCCCACACGAGGGAACGAATCTGCAACCCGGGCATATGCCGTGACCAGGAATTAAACCAGCAACCTTTCTGTGCATGGGATGATGTTCAGCCAACTGAGCCACACCAACCAGAGCATGTTTTTCTTCTTTTAAATAGGTTATTAGAGCCATGTGAGTAGAACTCTTATTTTCTCATGTGTCGTTAGTAGATGACATTGGAAAAGAATCACATTGTTTGGTGCTAGCCCTGCCACTTAAGTGAAATATTTTGTCATCAGGACTTCTTTGGACCATTTGTTATTGCCTTTCTGGGCTTTGTTCTTTTTGGCTCTCACCTCTAGTTTCTGACACACCTAGAATGTGAGAGCTGATTGCCTTACCCTACATAATACTGCCATTCAGAGCCTGGAATCTTTTCTTCTGCTGTTGCCTATTTTTCCTTTGCTCCCTAAACTCAGGGGTGTGTACTTGGGGCAGGCTGAGTTTCAGTGAGCTCCTAATGTGGACATTGGAAGCCCCACCTGCCTGCCAAGTCCTTTTGGCTGTGAGCAAAGTGGAGGCTTGGTACTTGTCATTCCTCTGCAGCAGTTGAGCAGAAGGAATGTTGCAGGGCTTGTTGGAAGTTGTTTAGCACCTTGCGTGGGTGTGTGTGAGGGTGGGTGTGTAGCATTGAGGGTCTTGTGTAGTTTGTGTGGGAGACCTGAAATTGTATCATGCCAATTATTAGACAGTATTTATTGAATACATCCTATGACAAATACTGTGATAGGAGCTCTTGGAATCTATATATATAAAAGCCTAAGCGACAGTTACAACCAAAAAGACTGGAATGACTAGTCTACCAGTTGCTATGATGGGCACTAACCACCAGGGAACAGATGCTTAATGCAGGACTGCCCCCTAGTGGTCAGTGTGCTCACGCAGCCAACCTCCCATGGCCCCCATCTGCCCCTGGTGCTAAACCATTCGTAGAGACCTGCTTCTGGGTTGGGGTTTCGACATAGCAGAGCAGCTCCCTTGCTGTGATCTATTGAAAGTCAGCCCTGGACACAACGACTTGTCTGGCTTCTGTCCTCTCCCTACCCTGGTGTCTGTACCCGGCGTCTGTTCCTTCTGCACCTGGGCCCAGCAACCATTGCCTCCTCTGCAGACCCCGCCGGGTTCTTTAGGTCCTGGGCTGGGATGGGGAACTGGAGGTGGGTGGCGGCAGAAGTTGTCTCTTTCTCGGGGGGGGGGGAGGGGGGCAAGGGCTGGCGGCTAATCTCCCGTAGTCCCTCCTTCCCCCACAGCCCGCCAACCTCCCACTGTGGCCCCTCTCATGGCGGGCCAACCTCCCACAGTCCCTCCCCACGGATCCCTATGCATGAATCTTGCACTGGGCCTCTAGGAGTATAACAAAATACTTAATTAAATCACAGTATATTAGGCAAACAATTCTAGCTCTGCCACTTACCAGCTTTGATTTGGGCAAGTTAATTAATGTCTTTAAGTCTCACTTTACATTCTATAAAATATAGCAATTAAATCTTACATGATGGGGCTGTTGTGGAGATTGAATAAAGGATTTAAGTATAGTGTTTAGCACATGTCTGATACTAGTTAGGATTTCCTTTCATACAGTCATATTTAGGATTTATGACTTACACCATATAAAACAAATAGAGAGTAATAAATAGAGAATAATATAACTCTACAGTGTGTAATCAAATACTTAAATTATGACATGTAAATTATAAATCGTCTGGGAATGTAGAGAAGAGAAAGAACAGTCTTGTGCAACCATTTAATGTTTCTGTGCCTCAGTTTTTCCAGCGGACACACACTGTGGAGATGCTAAGTGACATCCCCGAGATTGATTAAGGTATTACAGCAGTTAGCTTTTTTAGGTGGTTTATGTGATGGTGGAAAAAAGGGAGAAGCTTGAGGAGCTGTTAGAAACCAAATTTGGCACTTATTCTTAATTTTTTCCTTATGTGGTCATGGCAACCTTATAGGAAAATTTGAAGCTGGAGATTAGAAGCATTACCTTCCAAGGAAGGTGCTTGCTTTGGTATTTTAATTAGCTGAGAACTCATGTTGGTCAAGGATGGCCTCTGATTGTAAGCACCTTGGATATAATATGAGGATTAAGTGATTTGTAGCCCAAATTATCTCTCTGATCTTCCGGCAAAAATATAACATACTAACAGACAGGGCAGGATAATATTTAGTTCTCTGGTACTGATGTTAAGGACATATGGCTTACTTACCACGAGTAGTTCTCTGGGATGTGACATCTTACTCCAACAGAGTCCAGACTGATAACTTGGCCCTCCCAACTTTTAAGTAGCCTTGAATATGTAAAATACCTTTGAAAATTTCTTTACTTACAATATCCAAAAGAAATTGGATTTCAACTCCTTGTTTGGTATGTACGTACTTGGTAATATTTTTGTTAGCCTGATTTTAGAAAGTGTGTATTTCCTTTTAATTTTTGTCTAGATCAATTTTCTTCTAGAAAATTTCAGAGAAGTTTCCCATGAAAGTAAAGCTGCTCATACTCCCCCTCTTTGGTTTCTCCTTTTTGTTGTTAGGGTTTTTTTTTTTCTTCTTGGAATTGTTTGCCAAGGTTTCAAGTTTATAGTGAGAGGTGAGGCAACGTTGATCTTGGCAGAAAAGCACAAAGCCAGTAGAGTCATTAAGTGACGCAAGCTTTTGCTTTTTTCCCCCCCTTCTTTTCTTTCTGTTAAAGCTCTCTTGCACAGCTGGCTATTCTAGTCACTGAGGAAAAGAGGAGAAGTTCTGGGTGGAATGATAGAAGATAGAAAACAGCAGCAGCAACAGCAAATGCCCCATATAATTCAAACAAGCTTCTTAGCTCTGTGGAATCTATGTCAGTTGCTTAGAACTTGAGGATGATGGGACAAGGCAAAAGAAGGCGAGGAGGTTTGTGTTGGATTCTTGCTTATCTGTCTGCCTCTCCTTCCAGTTGGAAAAATCTTCAATCCACAAGAAGCGTTGTAAACAAGCCTAAGAAATACATCTTACCCTGATCCTGGATTCTGTTGGAATTGAAGAATACAGCCACTTCACCAGGATTTTATGGAGGTAGTTCAAGAAAAATAGAAGGAAACAATAACTCAAGAATTTCTCTGTTTATATAATCCTGTGCCATGTTAAATTTTGGGCACTGTTTGGAGCAAGTTGGGGACAGCTCTTTCATGTGGATCTAAGTGGATACCTGCATTCGTCGAGCTACATATGTGATGTTTGGAAGGCTGTAAACTCAAATTCTTTCAACACATATTCATTAAACTCTGGATTCCCTTTCTATTAAGGACTTCAGCAGACAGAAACTCCCTCATCAAAAGACACAAAACGTCCTCTGTGTTTTCAGGCTAAATGTGAACAATCATGTCTTGGAAGAGAAATTATTTTTCAGGGGGCCGCGGTAGTGTCCAAGGGATGTTTGCACCTCGAAGCTCAACCTCTATAGCCCCCAGCAAAGGCCTCAGCAATGAGCCAGGACAAAACAGCTGCTTCCTCAATAGTGCCTTGCAGGTAAGGGCTATTCCTTTCTTTTTGGTAAATGTATTTTAGTTGCTGGTGCTGTATTTCTAATAACTCTTAAATGTAATACTTGACAGTCTGTTTGAGGTCAGCACCTGAGATCATTTTTTAGGTTTATCTGTGTGATCTTAGGCAAGACGCCTTATCTCTGAGTCTCAATTACCTCAGTGGTAAAAAGGGGATTAATATGATAGTGAAATAATAACTGTAACTACTACTACTTACCTGCCTAAAAGGGAGGAGATACAGAGACTAGATGATCTTACTACTTCTTTATTGATCCTTTTTCCTGATCTGTCTCCTATTTTCCTTTTCCCCCACTTTTACACCAAGGTGTCTTATTACCCTAGTTGCTTTTCTCTAATATAGAAAGCAAAATTCTGCCCGGCTGGTGTTGCTGAGTGGTTGAGTGTCTACCTGTGAACGAAGTGGTCATGGTTCGATTCCTGGTCAGGATACTTGCCCAGTTTGTAGGCTCAATCCCCAGTGTGAGGCGTGCAGGAGGCAACCGATCAATGATTCTCTCTCATCATTGATGTTTCTGTCTCTCTTCCCCTTCCCCTTCCTCTCTGAAATAAGAATATATATTACTAATTAAAAAACAAAATTCTTTCCACAAGTCAGACTTTCTTGTATCATAATTTTCAGGCTTTTAGCATATATACTGAATGGAGTCCAGTCTTTTTCCATTTCTTCATCTCCTTCCTCTGAGATCACATGTAGTAGCTCATAATTGGTGTCTGGTTAAATATGCCTGAACAGAGCTGGCAGAAAGTAAATTTTCCTAAGATGATTATCTGCTCTAGATTTTCTCTTTTGGTGTTGCTTGCCACCTTAGTGGTCACAGAATCCCAAAGCTTCCTGATCTGCTTAATCAGGCCCATAGTGTTAGGTTCATACCCCTTGTCCTAACTTTCTTTCCTCTCTTTTATACTTTTCAGAGTAAAAGTAAATGAAATTTTCCATCCAAGACAATTATTTGGTTAAGTATTAGTTTTATACCTCAGATTTAATGAGAAAATAAGTTGCTAATGCAAGAAGAAAAGACAAGAGTATTTGATATAAAAAGCATTGGACTTAGGAATTAGGAGACCTAATTTCTACTCTTTGGTCCTCTGTAGACTAGTCTTGTGACCTTGTACAGGTAATAGTATTTCAGTTTCCTCATTCATAATAAAAGAATCTTGTCAAGTTTATTTGTATGATCAAGATTTCATACTCCCAGTTACCAAATTTTTATTTGGAAACATTAAAAAATTCTATGCTATGAAGTCTATAGGAAGAGTTTAAGCACTTTCATTAATTACTACCACGAATTTCTTGCAGTTGAGTGGGTTGATTAGGTTTTTTTGTAGATGATGCATTTTAGGTTTTTGAGTGACTTTGCATAAACTAGTAATACTTTTGTAACTTAGAAGCAGGCAAAAAGGGTGTTGGCTTTAAGTGTGTTTGTGTTTACCTCCTTTCTGGCCATAGACCTGTTTTTATAATTCTGTTTCTTTCTATATTTTCTGTCTTTACTGTCATTTGAAACAATATTTATGACTTTCTGTTCTAATTTTCAGTGCTATATGCTATATATAAAGACATACATACATATTTCAATACCCATATTTAAGGATTGTATCATTGATGATTTTGGATTGCATACTATAATAGTGTTACAGGTTGAAAATAATTGTTTCTATTCTAACTTTTGATATAAAAACTATGTTCATCATAGCTGTGTTGCACTCTTTACATTTGTTCAAAAGGCTGTTACTTATTTGTAAGCATAATGTGTTTCAAAAAACTTGAAATATATACGTTGATACACTAAGTAAGAAGCTCCAGAGATGTTTTGTGATCTGGGGCTCCAGGCACAGAAGTGTAGTGCCTTTTCATATATGGTGACATTTAAATGTTTTCCAGGCAAAAGGAATTATGCTATATATTACACCATTTCTTTTTGAACTAAAGACCATAGTTTATCTAGATGTCTTTAGTTTTTACCTAGTGTCTGTTTCTATTCCTAGGTCCCATCTGGAATACTACATTTGTATTTACTTGTCTTGTTTCCTTAGGTTCATCTTGACTATAACAGTTTCTCAAAATTTCCTTGTTTTTGATGACCTTGACAGTTTTGAGGAGTAACTAGTCAAGAATTTCATAGGATGTCCCACTGTTTGAACTTGTTTGATGTTTTCCTCATGATTAAATTGGGGGTAAGGGTTTTTAAGAGGAAGACCATAATAGTAAAGTGTCATTTTCATCACATCATATCAAGATTACATACTGTGGACTTGATTTATCATTGTTGATATCACCTTTATTTTTAATCTGTTTGACTTAAGGAAGTTACAACTCTCTAAAAATTGAGGTCTAACAAAGACAAAATCCCACACTATAATTCAAGCTTCTAAATAAGTTTTTAAATACTCTTTATTTTTTAAAATAAATTTAAATAAAATTAATTTAAAATTTTAAATGCTTTTTTTGGTAGACCCTTAAAATAAAACCTTATTCTGCAGCTTTTCACCCATAAATTTCCTCTTCAGGTCCACATTTGATATATGTCACACCATATTTTCTTTGTGACCTTCCTTCGTGTTCAAATTACTGTCTTTTCCAGAATACAGTCGTCTATCCCTCTTGTTAGATGCCTCCTCATCTTTTTTTTTTTTTTTGCCATTTAATATACTAGAATAAACTTTTCACTTGGGAATAAAGATATCTTCTGCAATCATTACCAATATTTGCTTGAACTCTTGAATTTAAGATTAAATGGCAGCTTCTTATAGAGTAATATGTTTTCTCTCCTTTGCAGGTTTTATGGCACTTGGACATTTTCCGACGCAGCTTTAGGCAGCTCACTACTCACAAATGCATGGGAGATTCCTGCATCTTTTGTGCTCTCAAGGTAAGTACTTTAAGTTTGATTTTTCTCACTATCATTAGGTTGCCAAATGATCGATATTGAGGATGCTTTTGAATAATCAAGGTTATTTGCTTGTGATTTAGTACAAAGAATCACTATCATTAGTTTTATTTTTCTTCAAAGAATTACTATTTAAGTGGCTTAAGTGGTCTGTTTTTTAACCTTTTTGCCCAGGCAGCTCTATTTAACGTGATGAGATAGCATTAAAATGTGCTTAGACTTTGAGTGTTTAACTGAAAAGCTAATTCTAAATTTTTATTTTGAAAGCATAAACAACTCAGGTATTCTTAATGTAATTAACTATTGTCTGTTAAAGCTAAATTTAGCAATAAATTCTTCCTACTAAGAAAAGCCAACTCTGAATTCCGATTTGTCACAGGGATACTGGCATGTGATGACTACATGTTTAGTTGCTTGTGACCAAATGAATTGTGACCCCGGTAATGTTGGTTATTGCAACAACTGACTCAAAACAGTTTAAAAAAAAATACATTTTATTGATTTTTTTTTACAGAGAGGAAGGGCGAGGGATAGAGAGTTAGAAACATTGATGAGAGAAACATCGATCAGCTGCCTCCTGCACACCTCCTCCTGGGGATGTGTCCGCAACCAAGGTACATACATGCCCTTGACCAAAATCAAACCTGCTCTGATGCTTTATCCACTGACCCAAACCGGTTAGCATGAGTTTTCAGCCCATGATAGGTATATATCTTTAGAAAGAAATAACTGAGTCTTCTGAATGTTTGCTACTTGAGTCACAAATATCTTTTTTTCTCCACCCTTTGTTTGGAACCACTGTACCTTTTAGCAAAATATAGAATATAAATTATTGGTTAATTGGGAGTTTAAGTATGAAATTTTAATAAAATCAAATTTTTTACAAGTTGTAAATTTCTTATTGTGCTCATTCAGACAATTAAATTCAAAAGAGCATTTGGCTTGATTTTCTGGGAGGTATATTGACATTAAATTCTAATTTAAAATATATTTTTATTGATTTCAGAGAGGAAGGGAGTAAAAGAGAGATAGAAACATCAATGATGAGAGAGAATCATTGATCGGCTGCCTCCTACACACTGGGGATTGAGCCCACAACCTGGGTATGTGCCCAGACCTGGAATCAAACCGTGACCTCATCGTTTATAGGTCAGTGCTCAACTACGTAAGCCAGCCAAGCTTAAATATCTAGTTTTAGATAAACAAAAAAATATAGTGATCTTTGGTCAGCAAGTCAAAGGGAAGTCAGTTTCATTGCATTAAAAGCAAAATACTAAGGCAAAATACTTGCTAGAGAGATTTGACCACTGGAGAAATCCCCAGTAGAAGAATCTCCTAAAACTAGAAATTCTTATCTGTGTGAGGAAGGGATAATAAGAACTTATATGACCCCCTGGCAGTTTTGATTAGTCAGGACTGTGCCATACTGTCTTCATTGACACTGGTGGGACTTGGGAGAATGGCTGTCACAGTCTTATTATATTTCACTTTCCAGAGGGCAAAATTGTTACACTAATATAAATAAACTAGAGGCCTGGTGCACGAAATTCATTCGCTGGGGGTGGAGGTCCCTCAGTCCAGCCTGCAACCTCTTGCAGTCTGGGATCACTTGGGGGATGTCTGCAATCCAGGACCCCTTGCTCCTTACTGCCCACCTCCTTGCTGCTTCTTACCGCTCAGCTTGCTGCTCTTTAGCATTGCTACGGAGGCAGGAGAGGCTCCTGCCACTGCCCCTGCTCTCTTCAGCTGGAGCTCAGCCTGCATTGTGTATCTGCCCCTGGTGGTCAATGCACATCTTAGCGACTGGTTGTACTGGTTGTTCTGCCATAGTGGTCGCTTAGGTTTTTATTATATAGATTATATAGATATAATTATATAAACCAGAGAAATGAAGAAAACCAACCACCAAACTTTATGGGACACCTTCTGAGATATCCAAGTACAGAAAGGAAGTTGTTTTTCAACTGCAGGGGCTGAGGATATATATTGGGAGTCTTTCAGAGAAGCAGTTGCTTATGATAGATAGATAGATAGATAGATAGATAGATAGATAGATAGATAGATAGATAAATTGGTTGAGGGGATCAAAGGCTATATTTTGCATCTTCATTGTTTTAAGCCTGTGTTGGAATTCTGGAACTTTCCTCATCATATCACTGCCTTATCTACCCATTGGATTTTTTTTCCTTCACTGTTTCTTTTGTTATATTGGGAATTTGTTAAAAATATTGATTCTCCCACTAAAGTGCTTTTCAATCCTCAGTGCTATATAAATGTTAAATAATTAGGTTTTAGTTTGCACTAAAATACTTCATGTTTTAGGTGACATCGTTTACATTCTTTTAATTATATTCTTAATTTGAAATATTTAAATAGATTCATAATGCAGATGGATTAATTTGACAGTATGTATGAGCTGAACTTTTCTAATAACTGTTAGACTAGCCATAGTTTCTAAAACACATTCCTTTATTCATACTGGAGGGCTTCATTTTCTGTGAGAAGAGAAAGGGTGAGGGTATGGAGGAGCAATCCTGGGATGGACCATCAACACCTGGGCCCTCCAATAGGATGTATCTTTTGTTCTCTATTTTAGAAATATTTTTATAGAACATGAAAATAATAAATCATTAAACTAGGTTCAATCAGTATAATAAGTCAAGAAAAACAAAGGAAGAATATACTAGAAAGTTATCATTATTTGTAGATGATGTGATTGGCTATTTAAAAAATATCTCAAAGAATCTACTGATCAATCAGTAGACTCAATAAGAATTTAGCAGGTTGTTGCTCATAAGATCAAAGTATAACATTCAATTACATTTTATATACTGGAAACTAACAGAAGACTTAATTTTAAAAGAGCTTTTATAATAGTAACAAAGGATATAAGTAGATATGAATAAATTTAACAAAAAAAGATATCCTATATAATAAAGATGTAATATGCAAATGGTCATTGTGCCATGAAGTGTAATGACCGACTGTGTAACGACTGGATCACAGATCAGCAGGAGGGTGGGGCAGCGAGCTACAAGCAGGCAGTGGAGAGCTACAGGAGTGGGCAGGACAGCAAGCTACAGTGGGGGGTTTGTGGGAAGAGCTACAAGAGGGCTGGGTAGCAGGCAGAGAGCTACTGGAGGGCAGCAGCAGGCTACTGGCACACAGATTCATGTGCGGGGCTACTAGTATGATAGAAGACCCCAGCAAAGATCCAGTATAATCATCATCATCTTCATCAAGTCAACATTTTGGTAACAACTATTTAGGTCAAAATAGAACATTGCCAGTACCCTAGTCATTCACCCTCCTTTCTTTCTCAATCACATCTTTTCTTTCTCTCAGGGATAGCCACTTTCCTAAAGTTTGTGGTAATCACTTCCTGTTTTATCTGATAGTTGTACTACCTATGTATCCATTCTTTTTTTTTTTTTTTTTTAATATATTTTATTGATATTTTACAGAGAGAAGGAAGGGAGAGAGAGAGCTAGAAACGTCAATGAGAGAGAAACATCGACCAGCTGCCTCTTGCACATCCCCCACCAGGGATGTGCCTGCAACCAATGTACATGCCCTTGACCGGAATCGAACCTGGGACCTTTCAGTCCGCAGACCGACGCTCTACCACTGAGCCAAACCGGTTTCGGCTATGTATCCATTCTTAATCTAATTTAAAAATTACCTGTTTTCGAAACTTTATTATATAAATTTGTGTATGTGTCTTATTTAACTCAGCAATGTTTATAAGATCATCATGTTGTTTGCAGATTGAGTTTGTTCATTTTCATTATTATACTAGAGGCTCAGTGCACAAAATTCACGCACTTTGGGGGTGTGCCTGCCCCCCTCCCCCCCCCAGCCTGGCTTGTTCCCTCTCACAGTGCAGGAGCCCCATGATCTGCCTACCCATCCAGGGCTCCTCGATGGATTGCCCCGTAGAGGTAGGCTGGAGCTGGGGGTGTCCCGCCTCTGTGCTGTGCAGATCCTCGGGACCCACCTCTGCACTGTGCGTGCAGCATCAAGCCCTCATCCACTCACACACACCCGCTGTGCACGCAGCCTCCTGGTGATCGCTTATTGCGGCGTGAGGGCATCACAACCATTAGCATGTTAGCTCTTTATTATATAGGATGGTATTTCACTGTATAAAATAAATCACTGTTTGTTTATCCATTCTATTGCTGGTAGTCATTTGGGTTATTTCCAGTTTACTTATTTATTTTACTTTATTTTATTTTTTTTGTTAATTCTCACCCAAGAATATGTTTTCCATTGATTTTTAGAGAGAATGGAGGTGGAGGGAAGGGAAAGAGAAACATTGATGTGAAAGAGACACACTGATTGGTTGCCTCCCGCACACAACCCAACAGGGATCAGGGAGCGAATCTGCAATCCAGGTAGGTGCCCCTGACCAGGAATTCAACCTGAGACCCTTTGGTGCGAGGGCTGACACCCTCCACTGAACAACATGGGTCAGGGCTCCAGTTTTTTAAAAAAAAATTTTTATGAATAATATTGCTATTCTTGTATACATCTACAAATGTGTGCACATTTTTCCCCCATACATACTCAGGAATGGAATTACTTGGTTACAGGTTATCTTCAACTTTTTTAGATAATACCAACTGTTTTCTAATATTTCCATATTTTCCAAAGTGGTGGAAATAATGTGTACTTTGACCAGCAGCTTTTTCCTGAAAATTGAAAAAATTCAATTCTAAAATTCATATGACAAACAGGGAAGAATAGATAAAACACTTTGGGAGAATAATAACAAAATGAGTAACTTACTCTGTGTATCAGCCAGAATAGGCTAAGTTATGTGGTGGTAACAAACTAAAATTATAGTGATAAACATGCAAAAGATTTATTTTTTATTTATGTTACTTGTCCATTTATTTATGTTACTTGTCCACTCAGGTTAATAGGAAAACCCTACAGATGATAGTCATTCGGGACCTCTGTGCCAAAGTTATAACCAA